AGTAATTGGTTCATTTTATAATTATCAAAACATCATTTTGAATCTAAAAAAAATTGAATTGTACAATAACATAATTTATAATAATGTAAAAATGTAATAATTTTGTTAAATCTAATGACCTATGTAATCGATGCTTAACTAATAAAAAAAAAATATAGATAAATATATTTTTAAATTTGAACGTTTTTTTCAAGTATTACATTTTGCTGTATATTATATTATTGTATAATAATATAACACTTTCTATAGTTAATTGTACTCGAATAATTTTCGTAATTGGTTCAACACTTTTTAATAATATAGAATGTGATTCTACCTGGAAATTCATACTATTTTCAAACCAAAAAAACAGCAACTAAAAAATTGTATATTTAATTTCTGTTTTTTCTTCTTCTAGCCAGAAAAAAAAACGAAATAAAATGATTCACCAAGAATAAATATGTTCTATAACTTTTGGTATGGTAGTGGAAAAAAAAACTTTACTGGTCATAGAGAAAGAACTCGCCTTGTTTTGGTAGCTACCCAGTCCATCACTGCCACACCTACATATGACCTCCTTATCACCTTTATACATGTACATTATACGTATACATTATAATATATATATATATAAACTTACATAGTAGACGAGTTTAAGGTTTGATTATAGTATAAAACTTTTCGTAGAAATTGTTTTCGAAAAACATCGCCTCTTCAGCCACCGTTTCCGTGTTCATTTCGAGTAATTCTTCAGGTGTCAGACGCGAACTAGGGTGGCTGGTCTGTAGTAATTCAATTTATCCACTAGCTGAAAAATTGATAGAAACCGTAACTCTTACCTGGTAACAAAGGGCTCATGGTGGCCAATGGTCTAAGGTGAAAAAAAACAGTAGCCAGAAAACGTGAAAACGTGAGTTCACTATACAATATAATGTACTGTTGTGTACAAGTTTGGTGAGAAATGATCTTTAGTCACGGTTTCGCGATCTGTGGCTTTTTATATAACATTATATACTCTCGCCAACGTTATCACAATCAATATCACTGAGTAAGTGTAGAATGTGCATAATATTATACTCATCATATAATTGTTGATCAATAATTTATCACTATTGCTCGTCAAAAATCCAAATGTATTAACAATATTAAATAAAAAAAACATTGTGTGTAATTGTATTAAAATTTTAAAAACATTAAGATAATAATAAATTAATTTTAAGGGTATAGGAAGATCTACAGCCAACGAACCCATTATATGTAATGCTATAATGTACCTATCATACAGTATACAAGTAATTCTGCATAGACATGATCATCTAATGTTGAAGCGTTTGAATAACACAATCAATAATTACAATATTACTATTGTATTATTTACAATAATATTTTAGTAACTCCTAATAGCGGGCGCGTTGTGTAGGCAATTTCGGTACATCGCCGTGTAGGTGGCATTCGAGTGTTAATAATCTACACTTTGTTGACGGCTATAATATTATTTTCATTTCAATTACATGACGTGTATATTATTATTATTGTAAATTATTACTCACAATATAACATTCTTTTAATTTTATCTTAACCACCTCAATTTGAAAAATTAATTGTTTTCAAATATTAAGTGACAACGGATCAAATGTTTTTGTTACTTCGTATAGTAATTAAGTATTGAAATGAATCCATTTTCTACTTTTAGGTATAGTGTTATAAATTTATAATATGACAGAAAACGTTATTTTGACGCAAAATGAATGATAACGATACTAAAAATAAATTATTTTCTATGAAGATTAATATCCAATTCCTATCGTATTGGTTTTACCTAATTATAATGAAAAATTTAAGTTTATTATTTTGTTCATAATCTTGGATAATTATTAACTTAATTTCATATGTACTATAATATTTGTTTGGTAGTATAGTAAATATTGGAAATAACTATGTCACTTTTACATAAAATATTCTACCAGTAGTGCCACTAACTCAAGGATTACATTAATATATTGTACACTAGTATTAAATGTACTCCATATTATACAGACATATATCATTCTTTCTACGCGATTATCCTAGTAAGTACTAACATTATTGCAATTGTAGGTGCGCGCTACTGAATCATTTAAATATTTATTACTAAAACGATTAATGTCAGTGGTGAGTTTTGGTCGTCGTTTGCAATGATGGTATAATACAATAATATACATTATCACAATGACGTGTGTGCATAGGATTAATATTAAAATTTTTACAAAAATTAAATATATTACTACATAATATGGTGAAATACTGTTATGGTACGCTTAAATACCAACCGGCCGTATTACTCGTGTCGTATATGTAGATTAATTTCAACGAACCTACACAAAAAATTGATCCAATAATGTAATAAACACTTATTATTACCCACAGACGTCTAGTGGCAATTCAGTCTCACGGTCACCACACTCTGAATTCTTTTCTGTCTTCACATATTTATTATATATTAATTTTACGATCGAATCGTTATTGAAAAATATCAGTATTTGTTTTAAACTAATCACATTGTGTTATGATTATACTTAATTGTTATTTTATTTTATAATTGTTGTCTTAACGTAATTTCATATATTTATAGTTTTTGATTTTGTTTTCTACTTGTTATCTTCAATCATTTTTTTTATCTAATTTTTATTTATTAACATTACTTACTATTATATTCTTTGGCATATACATGTATTAAAAACCAAATACATCACTGGGAGTCAGCAAAAAAGAAGAAAAAATAGAAAAAAGTGGACTAGTGGGTATCTCTCTGCTGTACCTATAGTAGATATGGAAAATATATTATGTATGTCACTATGATGCATATATTAAATTTGAATGTAATGACAGGTATCATTGTATAATATAACGGTTCTGAACAAAGATGATTTATCAGTCTATAGAATATAACATTATAATATTACCTACATAAAAATTATAATATATTTTTATACGCTCACAAAGTGTTTTCTATATTGACTCTGGAGTTTTTTTTTTACATTTATTTAAAAAAAAATTATAAAGAACCCTGTGTTGGGTTTTTTATCCTTAGGTATAAATCACAAAAATTTTATGAATTTTCAACTTTATAATTCCATGCAAATTTTCGCGATGTTGACATATTTCGTAAACATTTGAACTTTAAATACTTATAAACAAAAATTGTAACCTTACGATTTTTGATCTTCTTTCACAACGATAATTACAACTTATACTAAACCTTTGACTACATTTTAAAGATTTTTTTGGACCGCCGAATTTTTTATAGGAATTTCAATAAAAAAAAGCATGTAAGTGGATGTCGCTCTGCTGTACATTAGGGGGTGGGGTAGACCTCAGATTAGGGTAGGTTAAATTTGAATGAAATGATAAGTATCATTGTATACGAAAAACGATTCTGAACGGAGATGGTTTATCTGTCTAGGGTATATTATAGATTATTAAAAATTTTCAAATCTTAGATTTAAAAAGAAAATTTTTGTCAGTCTAGGATATATTATATTTAAATATTGTCATATATTCTATTTTGAAACAAATATTTTATTTTTCAATAAGGACGGATTTTTCATAAGGCATGGTTAATCTATTTTTCCAAAAACATTACATGTAGTTATCATAATTCATAATACCTTATATTATCATAGATATACATATACCTGTTTTGAGGATAAATCGTTATCGTTACGCGATTTCATAAAAATTTAAAACTCAAACGCTCAAAACATTATTCCTATAATGACGTTTCAAATTTCCTTTATAGATATTTGAAGGAAAACTTACGAAACACTTAGTGTTGTATTTTTAATTCTTAGTTATAAACACAAAATTTTTTATGATTTTTCAACTTCAAAATTACTTGCAAATTTTCGCGTTTTAAACAAATTTCGTAAAAATTTGAAATATATACCTACGCTTATAAAAAAAAAATGTGACTAAGGATTTTTAATTTTTTTTTAGCTACAATAAGAACAACTCATAAGGAACCTTGTGATAAATGTTCAAGTTTTTTGGGTCATCTAACATTTTTTTACCGACACTTCAAAAAAAAATTTTCAGAAAAATTGAATATTTCAGTTGTCTATAAATATCTCGAAAAAATTCAAAATATTTTGAAAATTAAACTGTAGATAGATAACAACCAAAGATATTCAATTTTACATCAGAAACCACCCCAAAAGTTTGAAATTGAAGCATTGTTTCGACTAGTTATGCTGTACACAGACAAAAAACACACACACATCATTGTAGAATCAACACATTCATCACTCCGTTCAGAATCTAAAATTAGAAAAATTTTAAATTTCAATTGTCTGTGAATAGTTTAGAAAAAGTCAAAATATTTAGAAAATTTAATGGTAAATAGATAACGCTAGTATAAACATTTGATGAAAATTTCAAGTATTTACAGTGATTATTTTTTGAGTTACAGCAAAATAAAAGATCAATTTCGTCAAAAACTGATTATGCATAAAAATTCCCGTTTTTTTCGTTACTTGTTATGGTTTTTCCTGATTCTTTTTAAAACTATTGAACATTGAATTTACCTTTTCAAAGAAGGGCTGAAGTCAAAAATCGAAGCATTATTTCTATTCCAATACGTGATGACAAACATAAAAATGAAAAAAAAAAAACACATCATTGTAAAATCAATACATTTCTCACTTTGTACAGAGTCTTAAATTAGAAAAGTCTGCGAGAATTATGTATATTAAGCGTAAATAATAATAATAATAATCATGGTAGTAATAATAATAAACGATGGATGGATACGCGGAGAAACAGTAGCTTTTGCGAGCAAGGAAAAAAATTACCTACATTACATTCACTTACGTGCAGCGCCGAGATTATAAATCGTTTTCGGCTTGCCAAAAGTTGTATAATAAACTTTCAATATGATCACGGCAGTAATAATATAAATAATACATAATAAATGTGAACGCGCCCGTTAATGACTTTCCGAGGACAGCTTTATATCGTGTATATAAATATATATATACACAAACATGGTATGCTACTTGGGTGGTGGTGGTGGAGGTGGTGGAGGTTGTTACGGACGTGATGTAAGGGCGGAAAAGCGAAGGGGTGTAGGTACGCGGTGGCAGTGGAGGCGGTGAAGAAGGCCGAACGGAATTTATTAAGGCACAACTTTGACACGGCAACGGCCGGCACGAGCGTCCTCCACAGAGTCCTTTCGCCGCGACCTTACGCGCACGTCGCCGTCATCTCCGTCGCGCACCTTCGGCTTCGCGCACCACCGAAAAGCCGTTATCTCTCTATTAACGGTTATATTTTATAAGTTTGTACATATGATCGTAACACACATAGGTATATAAATACGTATAATATAGGTATACTATAAGTATATAAACATATATTATATTAGACGGGCGGACCAAACGCATGTATATAATATTATATATAATAATATGTATATACACACACCGTATTAACGGTACACGCGAGGATTAAAACCGCATTTTATATATCGTGTCAACTGATTTATCTCTATCCCGCGTGCATTCCGGACGACCGCAGCCATTATACGTGTCTCGACCGATCGCTATAATATACACACATAATATTATATAATATACAGGGTGTCCAGCTAGGATTTACCCATTGCGATATTTCACAAAATAATGGAAATTTCGAAATTCTGATTTTATAATAAGACTTGTAGGTATAGAATTATAGATATTTCATTTTTAATTGATTTTAATGTTTCGATCAAAAAAATTAAAATAGTATTTTTTATTTAATGATTTCCAAAAAAATTAAAGATGATCATTTTGTAGAGTTTATTTTTCTGAAAATATTGACATTTCAAAATTTTATTTTCATTAATTTCCTGATTTTGTATATTTTTGCTAGTTCTGAAGAAATAAAATATGATTATAAGTATTTATAACTATAGGCACATTGAAAGTATTCGGCCGGCCATACGAGAGTGCGGTGGGTTAAATGTTTGATAACATAACGGTGTTAAATAATTCACAATTTTTCTAGAAACTAAAAAAAAAAAATTTAAATCAGGAAATCAATGAAAATAAAACATTCAAACGTCAATATTTTCAAAAATATAAATTCTACAAAATGGCTATAGTAAATTTTTTTTTGGAAATTATTAAATAAAGAATTATATTTATTAACTTTTTTACAAAAACATTATAATATGAAATAATTGTAGTTCTTATCCATGTGATTCTTATTGGTTATTACAAAACTAGAATTTCGATATCCCCATTATTTCGGGATATATCGAAATGAGTGAATCCTCACGGTAACCCTGTATAATACGCGTAGAGCCCACCACCTCTCTCTTGTCATGTGTGTTATTGCACAAGCACTCTCGCGCGTTCTGATTTCCCTCTCGCCAGCCCGACAGCGGCCGTTATGGCATTTTTTACACCACTRACTCAAGTTTTTTTTTTTATACACCTATACATAATACAATATAATATTATAACGCGTATGCTTCCGTATTCTTTTTTATTTAATGTATATATATATATATATATTTATTTTTTATCTTTTATAGCGGTTGATAAATCACGAGGGTGAACGAGAATATAAAAAAAAGTTTAGAAAAAATTACTCCAGTCGGTTCATTACTACGGTTGTCTGCGCACATAAGCTCATTAAATAACGAGGAAAAGATAAGTTTCTTTGAAAATATGTGGCACGCAATAGTGTCAGTCGTCGTGGTCGTAGTCGGACTGACGTTTGTCGTCATTATAATAGGGTATTGCAGGGCTATGGTAGTGCGGTGAATGTGTACACCAATATTATTTTATGCATTTTGAAGCTGTTATATAATTTATTGTGCTTTTAATATTATTTCAAATTATATAATATTTAGTGATAAATAACCGTACTTCGTTTATTGACTATACGACTTCTACATAATAATACATATTTTATTATAAATGTACTGTTATTCCCTAGTTTCAAACAATATAGCATCATGATGTACTGTTGCGTCAATAAGTGATCATTTTAATTTCGTTATTGTTATTTCCGGTAAATTTACTATTGATGAACATCGTTTGCAGAATTATCCATGTGATCCTACACCCATGCTAAATCAAAACGAAAATAATGATTATTACGACTATCCTTAAAACGTCGGATTTTTAGTTTTAAATTCAGTAATTGGAACATACACACACATACACATTCACAAGAGTATAAATTTTTCGTAAAAATTCTCACTATTTTGTATTTACGAGTTTATATATTATAATATTGTATTATGATACATTACAATAATGTGTACATGCTGCGTAATAGTTTAGTTAACAAAATGTACTTTTTTTTTAAAGATTTCTTCTTTTTTATTTTTTTATTAACATGATATTATCTTCAAGGTTGTCTAGAATTTTTATATTCAACAGCATATTTGGTACTGTAAATAATTGTGAAAAAAAATGTATTCATACAATAAACTGCGAGTGAGCACATTGAGTTCTGATGTAATACATATTGTGAGATGTGTGATATCGTTTTTATCTGACCAAACAATATTACTAGGTATTCAGTTACTTGTAGAAATTTTTACAATTGTTGTCATTTCGAAATAACACATAAATTATTGAAAAAATATACTTGCTTGGTATGATCTTTTGCTATACAAATTATCTTTATATCAATTTCTGTGAAAAAATATGCCAGGTAGATATTAGAATGATATTAACAAAAAATAAATAATATTAATAAGATTCGTATAATATGTACGCAGCTTGGAGCCGTGAAAGAAGATTTTTTTTATTAAGAAAGACAATATACGATCTGTTTACAATAATAACAATAAGCAAATTAGATTTTAAAAAAATAAATAATAAAGTAACATGAATATCGTGATGAGGGAGAAACCCAATAGTAACACCTCATTTACTAATTTAATAGGTCACCATTTACGCTTTAGTCTGCGTGATGGGTTTTTTGGGAAGATGAAGGTGGACATGTGTGATATTAAAATATTGCTATGCGTGCTTAAATTTTGATGGAAACGTTGTACATTATTTTGTCTAGTTCAGTAGTGGTCGTTATTTCT